GGGAGGCCGGCGGCGAGTGGGTTGGCAGAGGAGAGGAGGTTGGGGATCTGGATCGGGTTGCGTGGTTTTTTTTTTGAGACAGACGGGGGGTGGGTGGTGTGGGACGGTTGGTGGGGTGGGAGATGGTGGTGGGGTGGACACGCTTAGTAGTAGCGTGGGGTCTTACCTGCGCTACTACTACTTAGTAGTAGTGCCGGTTTTATACCACTCGCTACTACTATGGCCTATCCGGAGACATTGTTGGAGACCATTTAGTAGCAGCGCGGGTTTATACCACTCGCTACTACTATCAACTTAGAAGTAGCGCGATTTTTATACCTGTCGGTGTCAAAACCGGCGGATCTCGGGTAGGGGGTCCTGAACTGTGCGTCTAGGCGGACGGTAACAAGAGACAAGGGACACGATGTTTTTACCCAAGTTCGGGCCCTCTCGATGGAGGTAAAACCCTACTCCTGCTTGATTAATATTGATGATATGGGTATTACAAGAGTAGATCTACCACGAGATCAGAGAGGCTAAATCCTAGAAGCTAGCCTATGGTATGATTGTTGTTCGTCCTACGGACTAAAACCCTCCGGTTTATATAGACACCAGATAGGGTTAGGGTTACACAGAGTCGGTTACAATGGTAGGATATCTACATATCCGTATCACCAAGCTTGCCTTCCACGCCAAGGAAAGTCCCACCCGGACACGGGACGAAGTCTTCAATCTTGTATCTTCATAGTCCAGGAGTCCGGCCAAAGGTCATAGTCCGGCTACCCAGACACCCCCTAATCCAGGACTCCCTCAGTAGCCCCTGAACCAGGCTTCAATGACGACGAGTCCGGCGCGCACATTGTCTTCGACATTGCAAGGCGGGTTCCTCCCCCGAATTCTTCATAGAAGATTTTGAACACAAGGATAGTGTCTGGCTCTGCAGAATAAGTTCCACATACCACCGTAGAGAGAATAACCTTTGCACAGATCTGCTGATGTATTCCACGGCGTGACATCACACCACGGCCAGGCCTTTATGCGAATCGTTTTTACTGTTCCACCTCAGCGCGTTCAGCGAGGCGGTTTCTTCGGCACGTCTTATCAGAGCGGAGATTGTGCCCCCTTTATTCTGGGATCCTCATCAATACGGCCGTGGGTAACCCAGTCATGCCCGTTGGCACGCCTACTCCATCGAAGGCGAATCCCGAACGGTCACAGGGAGGGCTCTTGGTATTCAACCTCTTTATAACGAGACCAAGGCCCGCTCCTTTCTTTCAATCTCAATCGAATCCGCCCCTCGCCTCGAGTTCCAACACCCAAAGCTCCAGATTTAGGCGCTTCGGACCTTCAATGATGTCCGGCTCCGACCTGCACGGCCGATGGATGTCTTCCTCCGTCACGGAAGAAGATGTGCTAAAGCTGAGAGACGCCAGGTATCTAACCGGCGAAATTTCGCATAGGCTGTCTGCCCAAGGGCAGGTTATTCCCACTCCCGAGCCTGGTGAGAGCGTGGTATTCGTGTCTCACTTCCTTCGGGGTTTAGGCTTCCCGACGGACCCCTTTGTGAGGGGGCTCATGTTTTATTATGGGCTGGAATTTCATGACTTGGATCCGGAGTCCATCCTCCGCATCTCGTCGTTCCTTGTCGTATGTGAAGCCTCCCTCCACATTACCCCTCACTTCGGATTGTGGCTCAAGACCTTCAAAGTGGAGCCGAAGATGATCAAGGGGCATCAGGCAGAGTGCGGAGGGGCTGTTATAAGCAAGAATGCGGATGCTCCATGGCCCGAGGGCTCTTTTCAAGAGGAGCTCAATTTATGGCAACAGGAGTGGTTTTATATCACCACTCGCAGGGGCACCAATTGGGCGGCGCCACCTGCCTTCCGCTCGGGTCCTCCACTGCGGCGGGCGTCATGGGTCAATAAAGGGCTCGACTGGGGACCGTCCAAGGACGTACCTCTGTTGCAGGGCCGTATTCGAGACCTCCGAGAGAGAGAGAGAGATCAATCTGGTCGTAGTAGCGCAGGTCATGCTGATTCGTCGCACCTTGCCCTGCAAACGTCGCCTCCTCCGCCTGTGGGAGTTTAATCCGGAGGGACCACGAGCGCTCGAACATTTTATGGGCGTAACGCCCGTGGAGATGTACCAACTGTTCTTCGGATCACAAGCAATGTGTCCGGACTTAACTGAGGACGCAGGTCTGAGCTGCAATCGCTCCACATATTTATCATACACTTGCCCTTAAAAGAGCTATCCTTTAAACAGGAGTGGATAGCAAAAGCAAAACTGATCAGGTGTCCGGCCCCCCTCCCTGAGACCACGCCGGATCCTGTATTAACCAAGATGCTAGAGGTTGTGCCTTTTGAAGAAGGCGAAGGGGGGAACAAGGGAACTACTACCTCCGTGAAGGAGGCTAAGGGAGTCCTGGACTAGGGGGTGTCCGGATAGCCGAACTATCATCACGGCCGGACTCCAAGACTATGAAGATACAAGATTGAAGACTTCGTCCCGTGTCCGGATGGGACTTTCCTTGGCGTGGAAGGCAAGCTTGGCGATACGGATATGTAGATCTCCTACCATTGTAACCGAGTCTGTGTAACCCTAACCTATCCGGTGTTTATATAAACCGGAGGGTTTTGGCCCGTAGGACGAACAACAATCATACCATAGGCTAGCTTCTAGGGTTTAGCCTCTCTGATCTCATGGTAGATCTACTCTTGTACTACCCATATCATCAATATTAATCAAGCAGGAGTAGGGTATTACCTCCATCGAGAGGGCCCGAACCTGGGTAAAAACATCGTGTCCCTTGTCTCCTGTTACCATCCGCCTAGACGCACAGTTCGGGACCCCCTACCCGAGATCCGCCGGTTTTGACACCGACGTTGGTGCTTTCATTGAGAGTTCCTCTGTGTCGTCACCTATAGGCCCGATGGCTCCTTCGATCATCAGCAACGACGCGGTCCAGGGTGAGACTTTTCTCTTCGGACAGATCTTCGTATTCGGCGGCTTTGCACTGCAGGCCAATTCTCTAGGCCATCTGGAGCAGATCGAAAGCTACGCCCCTGGCCATCAGGTCAGATTTGGAAGCTTGAATTATACGGCCGACATCTGCGGAGACTTGATCTTCGACGGATTCGAGCCACAGCCAAGCGCGCCGCACTGTCTCGATAGGCATGATCTAACTCTTCCGCCGAACAGTGTCCTGGAGGCCGCACTAGTGTCCGCTCCGAACATTGATTCGGAGCCGATCTCGCCGATCGAGGATGGTTGGTTGGACACCACCTCAGGGGCTGAAATCTCTACGGCGATTAAGCCGAACACAATCCATGTCCTTTGCGAAGACCATGACTCCCAGGTGTCGGACTCCTCTCCGGACTCCGAACCCTCCGCCCCCCTGCCAATCGAATCCGATCGGGCGCCGGTCATGGAGTTCACTGCCGCGGACATCTTTCAGCACTCGCCCTTTGGCTACATCCTAAATTCACTAAAGTCTCTCTCTTTATCCGGAGAGCCATGGCCGGACTACGGTCAGGAAGGTTGGGATGCGAGCGACGAAGAAATTCAACGCCCACCCACCACCCACTTCGTAGCCACTGTCGAAAGCTTACACGACGTGCTCGATTTTGACTCCGAAGACATCGACGGTATGGACGACGATGTAGGAGACAACCATGAACCAACGCCTATAGGATGTTGGACAACCACCTCATCCCATGATGTATACATGGTGGATACACCTAAAGGAAATGAAGACGAGGAACAACGGGACGCTATGAAGGATAAATCCCTCGAAAAGCAGTCAAAACGGCAACGTAAACGCCGAACCAAGTCCCGCCTCAATAAAGACCCAGCCATAGAGCAGGGCGAACCGGTGGACGACGAACATGCTATCGAGCAATCGTCCGAACAACAAAACTTGGATAAACAACCCGTCCCCGGCGAAGATAACAGTCCGGATGATCTCACGCCAGACAAATTGTTGGAGCAGAATAACCTCCACAAAAGGCTCGTCGCCACTGCGCGTAGCCTGAAAAAGCAGAAGCGGAAGCTCAAAACAGCGGAAGATGCACTCAGAATCAGATGGAGCAAAGTATTCAACACCGCAGACAAATACGGCGACAGTCGCTGACCAAAGAGCTACCCAAAGAGAAAACTACTGCCCGAATTTGACGAGGAGGCCATAGAGCCCCCACAATCAAAAAGTAAGAAGGCCACCCGGTCGGATGGACGACCCCACGGCAAAAAGAGAGCGGCAAATGGCGCCGCACACAAGCCGGTACGCGATCCGTATAAGGATTCACATCAAAAGGATGGCCCAGTTAGGTCCATCTATGGGCCGAGAAAGCAAGCTCTTCAAAGCAATGCAATACGCCAAATATCCGAACATCACGGCACACCCAAATATAGGGGCGCCGCACACCCCCTGTGTTTCACCGATGAGGGGCTGGATCACGAATT